GCACTCACTGTGTATTAATAATAGTAATAATAATAATAATAATTCTATTGCTTTAAAATACATTTTTGTGTAATGATGAAATGCTTGACTCGTAAAACAGTTTGTTTTACTAAGGATAAGTAGTGATTGATAAACAGTTGGATAGGAATTTGTTATTTAACTGTAGTGTAAATAAAATCAGTTGTCAAAACAGATCAACATATGATATTCAAGTGTTGGTTTGTAGGGATTTGGTTGATTGGCTAAAGGATTTCATCATAAGCTGACATGAGATGCTCACTAGCGACTTGTCCTATTCAGGTAGGTAGTTACCTGGGATTCTAGTGAGAAGTCGTGACCAGGAGGGTGCAGCAGGTCGGGTGTGAGGACAAATACTCGCTGAAGACATTGGCTAGGGGTCGCGCTATGTCGTGAATTGGCTGGTAGAAGTTAGAATTCATGGGTCGTTGGATCGGGTCCCAGTGGTTTCATGGTCTATGAGCTAGCTAGCCTTGTAACCCGAAGGTCCTGGGTTCGAACCCCACCTGGTGGGGTGTAGAGTCCCAAACTAACGAAGCAGCTGTCTAGTACTCCCAGGTTTTCCAATGGTTCTCTAATTAATGTCAGCTCATGATGAAATCCTGTAGCAGATCAACATATGGTTTCTCAATTGATCATCAGGTAACATGTCTTCAAATAGCCATTATCCGTTAGATGATATAAATTTATTCTTAAGTTGGTTTGAGGCACTGTGGTAGAGTACAGTTTCATACCCGATAAGTTAATTTTTTTGGTTTACGATTCATTTAGGAAAGGGTTAAGCTTGGTCAAGTCGAAATATGACATCAATCTATGAAGTCATTTGACGATAGCTGTCTGCCACATATGATGTGGTTGTAGACTTCCTGGCTAAAGTCTCCGAGATACTAATATGTTCAGATGGCACAGATGCATTGACTTTTTGTTATCTTTAAAATACATTAAATACTGATTATGTTTTCTTCAAGAAATTTCCTTTTTTTATTACAGTTTCACTCTATCCTTTTTTTAAATCTAATAAAACATTTATGTTCACTTCTGTCAAGTATGCCAGCTCGAACTACTGCACTACTATGAAAAGTCCAATGTTGAGCATGCAGTCAAATTTTATATGACATAGTGGTACGGTACTTTGATTGGACACTGATTATTATTTATTATTATTATTTCCTTTAATTCCTAGAGGAACATAGGGCTTCAGCCGCGCGTTTCCATTGCGTTCGGTTCTCTGCTAAAGTTTTCACCTGGATCCAAGTCTGCCCACATGTTTTCATCTCCTCTTCACATAACCTCCTCCAAGTCACCCTTATACTGACGACCAAGTCGCCGCTTCCCATTCAGTTGGGTCGCACTCGAGTGATGGCTTGTCTAGTGATGTCACTTGATGGTTTCCTCAGAGTATGGCCAGCCAATCCATCTCCATTTCTTCCTGCTCATTTGTTGCACAACCGGTTCCTGATCGGTTCGCTCCCAGAGATCCATCCCTGTTGCTGATCTTTTCTGGCCATCTGATCTTGAGTTGTATTGAGTGAAGACAGCTGTTGATGAAGGTGTGTAGTTTGTTTGAGATGCTCTTTATGACGCGCTGGTCAAGTCTTTGATCCGTATAGCGAGTAGCACTGACTGACTTCACATTGGAGTTGAAAATACGGATCTTATTTTCATTTTGATGCTGAGTGATGTTGACCTCCACACAGACTTGAGAGTAATGAAAGCTTGTCTTGCCTTTCCGATTCTGGCTTTGATATCCTCTTCAGTTCCGTCCACCTGTAGTTGAAACGACACTTTCCAGGTAGGTAGAGGAAGGTAGTTAAAAGAGGTTGTTTCTTTCAGGTTCCTCTCATTTATGATGATTGTTGTCTGTTGTTGTTGTTGCTGCTGTCGCTGTTGGCCAGAAATGTTCATCACCTCTGTTTTCTCTATGTTCACCTGAAGTCCTGTCTTCTCTGGATGCTTCTTCTATCTCCAACTTGTTGCTTTTCACTTGCATATCTTCCAGTTTGTGGGAAATCAGACATATATATGTCATCGGTGAAGTCCAGATCCTCCAAGTTTTATGTGAGTCCATTTTATGCCTGTTTCCGCATTGCTTGTTTTCTGTCGCATTATCCAATCTACTGCAATCAGGAAGATCATTGGAGATAGTAGGTAGCCAGCCTTGTCTCACTCTCATCCTTACCTCGAAGGCTTCCTTAAGTTTCCCGTTGTGGGTTACTTGGCATTCTGCATTGTCGTACAGCTGTTGGGCACTAGTTACTGGTGTCCAGTTAAATTATCCACTGCAATCATACTGGAGGTTGATCGCGAGACCGAATAGCTTAGTGGTAACGTCTCTGACTGCAGTATTGGGTGACGCGGGTTCGAATCTCCTCATAAGCGACATGAGTTCCTTCAAGATTGGAGATACGCCTTGCTGACGAGTGCCAACTAGCACGAAACCTAGGTCGAGCAAGGCTTCCTGTGGCCGATCGCCTTCAACCATCTAATATTGTATTGTAAACTGGATAATAAAGATACAACTACTGTATTACCTAGTGTAACTATCAAATAAACTTATCCACTATAAAGTTATTTATTCAAGTTTGTGATTTCTTATTCACACAGCTAACTGCGTTGATCAGCCTCATTTAGTACACGGACTCTTTGAACGGATGCCTCTATATTATCAAGATCACGAACTTAAAGGTATTTGTTTGTTAGTGGCTATCAGTTGAATACACGACACATGTTTCATCCTAGTAAGTAGTGGTGATAGTTGGAACACCTTTACTCAGTGGGGAGAAAGTATATCTGGATGACGAGTCCCAAACGGGACGAAACGTGCATCCTCAATTTAACTGTCAGTCACTTCGAAAAGAGTAATTAGCCAGTATAGAAATGCATAGGTTGTCTTTAGAAAACAAACACACCTGTTTTATGCGAGCTGATTTGATTTTTTTACGACTGAACTGTTGGTATACACAATATAAAAAAGTCTGAATTTTATGTTGATATTCGTTGAGTGATGATTGCACTGCATATATATATATATATATATATATATATATATATATTCACTGATCCATCTTGAGTCGACAATAATTAATCAACCAAGGAACCAATAAATGTAAGGTGAGTTTTTCACTTGTATTACTTTCAATGCATTTTCAAGTAAGTAGGTTGCTACAGTCATTTCGGTGTACCCGAAATGAAGAATATTATGGTCTAAATAAAGAACTGCAATACGTATATCTAATTTGTTGTTGTTCCATATTCGTTTGTTTATTAGATGTTGCACACAGTGAGTGAAACAGTATTATCTACTGGATGACACAGCTCCGAACACAATTTATTGTTCATAATCATATCAATTTTGATCACACGACTTTGAAATTTGAGTTTTATAGTTTTCTTTGTCTTCTCCTATTTGTCGTCGTTGTGGTAGTAGAATTTTCCAGATATCTGGGTTGACAGGTGTTGAATCATTTCTATTACATGTATTTGCAGTTGATTCGATAAACAAAGCTTCTATTATCAATCTCTCCCTATACTCTGTGACATTAGATTTTAAAACTCATGCTATCCCATCCTATTGTATGGTTGTGTGTAACTGCATGTAGTGCTATAGCTGAACTATTTTCTAGATTTCTTATCTCATTTGGGTCAACCAATGTAGATTTAGCTAGGTCTTTATGTTCGGCCAGTCTGACTGCCCCTGTTCTACTAGTTTGACCTATGTGTTTGACCTGACAATCATTGTAGGCGGGGTATTAGATAAACTAAATTGTTTTTTATGTGTATCACTTCCTGTCTTAGATTTTCCTTGGTACTACTTAGTTTTTGTGCTCTGTCATTTAAACATTTCACTAATCCTGTTTTTACTGACATAGGATGGGATGATCGAAAATTATAAATATCTGTTTGAGTGTGTGGGTTTTCTGTAAACACTAGTGTTTAACTTCCCATCTTCTTTCCTTTTTACGTTGCAATCTAACATTGGAAGCTTTGTTTATCGAATCAACTGCAAATACATGTAATAGAAATGATTCAACACCTGTCAACCCAGATATCTGGAAAATTCTACTACCACAACGACGACAAATAGGAGAAGACAAAGAAAACTATAAAACTCAAATTTCAAAGTCGTGTGATCAAAATTGATATGATTATGAACAATAAATTGTGTTCGGAGCTGTGTCATCCAGTAGATAATACTGTTTCACTCACTGTGTGATACATCTAATAAACAAGCTAATATGGAATTACTTACGTACTATCGTAGTGCACAAGTTTTACACATATGTTGTTGTTGTTGTTGTTGGAGGTTTCAAATAATAACATACCGTGACGAGTTCTTAATGTACACCGATGGTGGAGTAGGTTCGCAACCTTGGAGTTGACGATTGGTCGTTCAAATTGTTGAAGTATATTTTCACATATTGAATTATAAAAACTTTTATATGCTATGGCATCTTTTTTCAATTAGTATGCTGAAATTCTAATGTTTATTTTAAACTTTTCTTGGTGCATAAATTAAAAAATACAGCTCAGTCGTTGTGTTAGCCCGTGTTTCCATAATAGACTGACTACCTTGAGAATTTTATCTTCCTTCACGTCCCCCAGTGGAACATAGGGCACCTTCAAGCTAGTGGCTTAAAGTTTCTGAAGCAGTGTTTATTTTTACAGGATGGGGTTTCTAGCCTCATGCCCAACCTTTCCCCTTTACCAGTCTTATTATTGGGTAAGTGAGGTAAAGGAGTGCGTCTGTGGCCGGTGATCGAACCGCGGACCATGTGCATGGTCGGCGAGCGTTCTAACTGCTTTCCCACCGACGTATGCCTTGAGATTAGATTATTGCTATTAACTGAACACTTTTTCGAGCACAGTTTATTGCTCATAACCTTGTAGATGTATTCATATAACTAATTCATATTTGTATACTTACCCTGTCTTTAATTGTTTTTATTTTATGGCGTCTGTCCTGTGTGGATGTGTTTTTGGAGTTGGTTTTGGTAAGTATAAATTTCCTTGGCAGCATAATCAGTATCCACATTTTCCGTTTTTTACAAGATTCATGGAGCCTGAATCGGTCGATCAGTGTGTAAATAATAAAATAAAGATGGGAAGATGTTCTACTAAAAGTTAACAAACGTTAAATTTTGATATTCGTTTGAATGAGCATCTGAAGTTGACGTGTTTTCTGGATGTTATTATTGTTCCCTTGGGTTCCTAGTGGAACATAGGGCTTCAACTCCACGTCTCCACTTGCCACTTCTGTCTTCCTTCTGCTGTACTTTTCACCTGCATCCATGTTAGTCCATACTGTTTCAACTCCTCTTCACACGATCTCCTCCATGTAACCCTTGCGACGAAGTCCCACTCGCCACTTCCCTTTCGGCCTGACGCGAGCCCGATGTCACCCAGCAGCCTTCTCAGCGAGTGTCCAATCCATCTCCATCCACTTTCTCCTGCATATTTGTTGTTGTTGGGCGATTGGTTCTTGTTTTGTTTGTTCTCATAGTTTCTTGTTGATGATTCTTTCCGACCCGGCCATCTGATCTTCATCATAGAGCGAAGACAATTGTTGGTTGATAAAGGTCTGCCACAGGCTGTTGGAAATATTCTTTGTGACCCACCCGCCAAGTTGCTGATCCGTATAGAAGAACTGACTGACTTGACGTTGTTTGTATTGAAGATCCGAATTTAATGGTAGATGCTGATGGATGCAATAAGCTTGACGTCAACTCGTATATATGGCAGGGAACAAATTATTGGAATATGTTATACTTGGTTAGATTAGCTGACTTTATTAGTTCAAGTTATTTTGATATTCGTTGCACAATAGATGACTCTCACAAGCAAGTGGCCTAAGCAATGGCTATTGGGTCTAAATATTAGTGGGAACACTATTAATAACTGCGGAGCGGCTACATTCATCGACGAAAAATGAGTCCTGGATTCAACCGCTAACGTCTCGGTTATTCTTGTCAGAAATCAGCATCTGTTGCACAAATGATTGAAAACCAATGTGCACTGGACAGCTGTTTCGTCCTGTTTTGGGACTCTTCACCAGGTGTCATCCGCTGCTTGAATAAGGATCGAACCCAGAGAATTCGGGTAACGAAACCCAGAATGTTGATTATTCAATCCCTTTGGCAGGAACTCAATCACCTGTGGATTCTAACTCCTATCGGTTTATACTATAACTGCGTCCGCAGTCAGTCAATGACTTCGATAAGCATTCACTTCCAACTGACATGACCTTTTTAACAGCTGTTGGTTCGTGACGAAATGCGACTCTTGTAAATGATACCGTATCCAAATCCCTGCAAATCCCATAATCTGAATTTACCAGTTAGTTGTCTCAAAGAGGGACGCTGACAGTGAGGCAAGAAGACAGTTCCTCGCCTGTGACATTGACTGGCAGTTGCTCTAAAAATATATCCCCAATTGGCAGAAGTAGGAATTCATGGACCATTGGGTCGGTTCTCGGTGGATTAATGATCTGCAAGCTTGTCTTATAATCGGAAGGTACTGGGTTCTAACCCTGGAGGTGGATACGCACTATTGAATTGTCCCAAAATAAGACGAAACAGATGTCCAGTACTCTCTGCTGGTTTTTCGATGGTTCCCTGACTGATATCAGCTCGTAATCAATCCTGTGACCAATCAAGTAATTGCAAACTAACGCTTAAAAATTGATCAACTTAAGTTAGCTGGAAAGACAAGAGGACGGGTGACAAAGCACTCCACGTTAATGTCAACATTCTAGGAGTTATCAAAAAGGATAACGAAAGCTTCTCACTTCAAAGAATACAACTGTATCGAAGTAGTATACTTCAGTTGATGTTTACATTTCATTCCTCTGCGTTCCGAAGGGAGCTTCGGACTTTAAGCTTGAGCAATGCTTTTTCAGTACCGGTTGCGTTTATTTTTTTTTCACGGGCTATGGTTCCTGCCCTCGCACCCAACGCTCTCTAAGAGCGTGGCCGGTAAGTATTCCATCACTAAAACACCACCGCACTTCGATTGATAGGATTCCTAGTTAAACCGATTGAGATAGTTGTGACATGTATTACGCATGCCCAGCCATCGCTATCCTCGACGGGTAGTGTTAGGTAGCATACTATGGATTTGGCTGGAAAAGAGCTATTGGTAGTGAGACCAAAACCAATATGGAATCAGTCAAAGAAATTTATAACAGTTGGTTTAACTTAACCGACCACACCAGGAGGTAGGTAAAAACTTCATAACTGGTCGGCGTCCCTGGGATGGTAAAATCCAATGGCTGGCTCAAAATAGTTCTCAGTGGCGCAGATGCATTCACACTTCGTGATTGCTCATATCAAATAAAATTCCATTGTTCTTCCATATTACTATTCTTGATGCCTTATATTTCTGTTCTGAATCTCACTTTACTCTCGTGCTTTATGTTCTACATTGGTGGGATAGTGGTCACTCGAACTGCTGCACATCCGTGCGAATTTCTATGCTGAAACCATTCAGTTAGATAAGATTCCTAAAAGTAAATATATATGTAACAACAGAAGACAAGGGCCAGGCAACAGATCGTTTTATTCCGGAAATCAACACGTATTTACATATATTTCACACACATTATTTTAGTTTATTCAAGTAGACAGACGCAGGCTTCTGATTGGTTGTTTCGAGTAACCATCGAAAAGTGGAGCCATCTATCTGCGAATCATATTTGCCCACATTGTTTGCTGTGATTGGTCGTTGAATCAGCCTTGCTCATATTTTCTCACGGCCAATATTAGTGACCTAGATATTGACGTAGATTAATGTCTACTAATTGGCTAGCAGCCTGCCCTCACCACATATATTCACTATGTACCTGTCAGCAATAACATTCATTTCCGTACATTTCCAGTGTTTCAGGAATTATCGTAGCTCCATTGTAGACATTTACCTTGTGAATTCATGTCATTCATATATGAAGAATAGGTTGATTTTAAAATTAGATTTCGTTAAAAAAAAGATCAAACAACACAAACATTTCGGAAACTTGTTGAAAAAATAGAGCACTCACATAAATACTTTTTCATTATTTGAAGTCTTTATCAAATGAAAATACAAGTGAACAATTTCAGAGTGCAATCTGTTGAATTTTACTTAGTTCAGAATAAGCTTCGTAATACTCACCAATCACGCTTCTCATGGTCCAGGGTTTAAATCCCCGCCGAAACGCTCTTATATCCCACCTAACCAGCCCAGGAGTAAGTGCGTTAAAAAGGGAAGACTGATTGTGAGACTGGCTATCTCACCACTGCTATTGAGACTTCCAACTCCAAACCTTAAGTTTTATTTTCTACCCCAAACGTAAAGGATTAAAACGAAAGCGAATAATAGAGAAAGCGAATAACTTCAGATTAATTCAAGTATTTGTTAAGCGTGACAGACAGTAATTGCAATGCAAATAAAATATTATCATGCAAGGTTAGATGAAAAAGTCCGATTGTTTGCTAACTAATTTCCTGGCCTTTCAAGTATAAATCAGCCTTTTACGTAGTCCGAATATTTCTAAGATAGTCAGGTAGGTAAAAATTTTGAAATTCATAAAACAAGTAGCTACAGTGTATGACTTGATGAATCGCTTACCAGACTGTAATCAGACTGTAATCTCATTCCTTCACCTTCCGGATGCGATATGGGGCCCCGACCTTTATAGTTCCGGTAGCAGTAACGTTATTTTTGTGGAGTGCGTTTGCTAGCCTCACGTCCAACCTCTCCTCTTTCCTAGACCAAGTAGGTAGTTGGCGATTACTGTACCAGTAACCTACCAATGCAAGTGTATTTCTGTTTATCGGTAGCAATCAATAAAGGGTTACTCTAAACTCTAGCAGCTTAAAACGAAACTATCTAATAAAGGCCTTCACAAATCTCTATTGACCATTCAGATGAGTCTGAATTATACAGGCTTGATTTGAAAAATGATCGTCCATATAAAAGTAGTTGCATAGAATAATCTTCTTGTATATTTTCAAAGAAAATCTTCCAGTTTCACACAGGAGTCCTCATAGTTGGGTTAAACCAATTTCTGTTTATAAATTCATCGAGATAACTGTAAATCATCATATTTCTGCTCTGATCCTACTTTTTAGGTGATTCGAGAAACTTCCAGCGGGATTCGTGTGAGTCCCATTGGAATGATTAGCGAAATCAGCTGTATGCTTAACCATGTTGTGAGCATAGCGCGGGGATGAGGGTTGGCTGTAGTTACTCCATCGGTCTTTGTTAATGGTTGTGCCAGGTAGGACTAAACGTTGACACTATCATTAGGGATCATCTAGATATATCCTTTCCGCAGGGTACTGTCATATAACCGGCAAACCCACTGTTGATCAACATTCACGTCTACCGTTTTCGCCCTTCCTATAAGCTTGCTATCCAAATAGTATTTAAATACTAGATCTCGATGGAATTGGCTACATGATTCGTGTATAGCATCCGTAGTTGGACCTATATGTCGTCGACTCGTCTGATTGGTTGTTCAAGGTAAGTGATCCGTTCCTGATGGTAGTTTGGGATTCTATAATTTAGAGTCATTCGATAAAGTACTATAAGTAGCTACTTGTGAATTGATCAGTTTGCTGACGAGATCACTGATTTGGGTACTGTGTAATACAGAGAAAAAAAACGTATTCCCTTAAAGATTTAAGATAGGCTATGTTGACGATTAACCAGCAAACATGAAGCTTATGACTGTAACTTATTGCCGACCAAATCCATCTAACTCAAGCATTCTTTGATTCATAAAATTTATTGCCGTTTCTGATAATTATAATAAATCGAAGCACTTGGTAGCTGATTTTGAGCAAAGGTGAGCTTTTGAACTACTTTATTTTCGTTACACAAGAATAAATCAGTATCATTGCGTAAACGTTATTTTCCAAAGTAATTTACCTTCTTTTCATTGTGTCTTATTCTTTAGTGAAATCAACATTAGAAGACCAAACCCAGTTGCCTGATTATAATCAGAAAAGTGGAAAAGATGTGTCACCTTTAATTTCACCTAATGTATCTGAATGTATTGAAATAAGCAATTCAAATACTCAATCTACACGACTACCGTCAAGCCCACCTTCGTCATCGCCATCATCATCATCGAGTGGAACACCTTCAAATTTATATTCATCAGAATCACAATTACCACCACTGAATAGAATAACTGTTATTTGTCAAGATGATTTACACAAATTGTGCGCTCTTTTTGAATTTCGTGGTTACTTTCTTATTCAGTATACCAATAGTGGTACAAACGAAGTAGGTACTTTACTAGGGCTATTAAATAATAATAATATGATCATAATTGAATATATATATATATATATATATATATATATATATATTATTCATTATAATTATATTCTTTAATTCCTAGAGGAACATAGGGCTTCAGCCGCGCGTTTCCATTGCCTTCGGTTTTCTGCCAACCTTTTCACCCCGCTCCAAGTCTGCCCACATACTTTCATCTCCTCCTCACATCACCTCCTCCAAGTCACCCTTGTACTGACGACCAACTCGCCACCTTCCTTTCGGGTTCCACTCGAGCTATGACTTGTCTAGTGATGTCACTTGATGGTTTCCTCAGAGTATGGCCAGCCAATCCATCTCCATTTCTTCTTGCTCATTTGTTTATTTTTATTTTTTATTTTTTTTTTGATTTTATTTTTGATTTACAGCTTGATTCCACACTGTATTTTCGGTACAAGTATGGAATTTTAAGCATGTGATATCGGTAGCCCAAATTTTGCAGGCCGATCATAGATATCAGGTGTGTGTCGGTGCGGGCTCGAACCCTGGACCATGTGCATGGTCGGCGAGAATCCTAACCACTGTGCCACCGACGCATCATTTCTCCTGCAAGGGAGGTGTTTTTTTCCTTCCTGTTCCCCAGTGGAACATAGGGCTTCAAACTAGTGGCTTGAAGTTTCTGTAGCAGTGTTTATTTTACAGGATGGGGTTTCTAGCCTCACGCCCAACCTTTCCTCTTTACCAGCAAAGGAGGTGTGGCTCATTAATATAGGCACTCGATTCTAAACTGGTGGGTAGCGGATTTGAATACCAGTTCACCTAGTGAGTTTCGAACAGCTAGGTATCAGCATCACTAGCCTGCACACACACATAATAAGTATGGCCCATCACCAGCTGCATGGAATTGCAAGTGTTTATTGAGTTGAATTTTTATGTTTATTGGAGTTATAGTTTGTCCCAATCAGTTGTTGTTCATGTTTTCATTCATCTTTCAGTCAATTTGTTATCGGATAGCAATTGATCTTCGCGAAGATTATTCAACAAATGATGGAACAATTTATATCTTAGACAAATCTCCAATTTTTCTGAATAACACTTTGAATGATTTGACCAACAACTACAACAGTAATGCTGGTAATGATATAAATAAATCTAAATCAGCATACAATGAACCAGATAATCTAAGAGTATTAACAACAAATTCATCGTGTTGCAATACATTCAACAGGTGTTTCACTCTTCCATTGAGCTCAACTGATGAAAGCGATAAAAGTTTTTTCAAAGATTGGATCATTGAATTCCATTGGAATCGTACACCTGAAATGTATGAATTTGGTGAAGATGGTTGGAGTAGTGTTGGTACTCCAGTCGGTGCATTGTCTGGTGTTTATGATTTAGTCGATGTGAAATTAAAGTATCGTCTTCATGAAAACTTTGGATTGAATTTTCTAAATCATGAATATGGTATGTGTGTTGTATGTATTATATATATTAGTAGTATTCATTTTCTGTGATATTTCTTTCATATGAAGTTTAATTTTAAACTTTTTTATCGTCAGTCATGAATAACAGACGGGGATTCACCACTTTCACTTCACGGCAACAACCGTTACATGTGACCTACTTTTATTTTTCTCAAATGACTCACCAGTGTTTGATGCTTCACTACAAAATTACTCTTTGGGTGGTATATTCTTGTGCTAAGACGCGATTCCCAAACATATGTCGTGTGAAAGTTGATGATGCCATGGTGTTGTTTAGGCGTTCTTAGGTATCGGCTAACTTGAACTCGTGACGCCTTGTTGACTGAAGGTCGAGTTCTTTTGACAATGAGTTGTATCTTTATCCTGTTTTCATGATTTACTAGAATATAAAATACATGTAGACTGTTTAACCAGCAACAAAAATTACCAATCTCTAACTGATGTCAGCTCATGATGAAATCCTCAAACTTATTATTATTATTGTTCCCTTGGGTTCCTAGTGGAACATAGGGCTTCAAATGCACGTCTCCACTTGCTTCTGTCTCCTGCTGTACTTTTCACCTCCATCCATGTTAGTCCATACTGCTTCAGCTCCTCTTCACACGATCTCCTCCATGTCACCCTTGCACTGACGTCCCACTCGCCGCTTCTCATTCTGTCGGGTTCCACTCTAGCAATGGTCTGGCGCGCGCGCGATGTCACCCAGCGGCCTCCTCAACGAGTGTCCATCTCCATCCATCTCCACTTTCTCCTTCATATTTGTTGGTTGGCGATTGGTTCTTGTTTTGTTTGCTTGTACCCGTAGTTTCTTGTTGGTGATTATTTCCGGCCCGGCCATCTGATCTTCAGTATAGATCCAGCGAAGACAGTTGTTGATAAAGGTAACATCTGCAACAGGCTGTTGGAAATATTCTTTGTGACCCACCCGCCAAGTTTCTGATCCGTATAGAAGAAGTGACTTGACGTTTGTACTGAAAATCTGACTGGATTTTGTTGTTGATGTTGGCTGAGTGACGAAGATTTCCAGATTGGTTTCAGGTTGATGAATGTGTGTGTTTCTCGCCTTCCCGATTGTCGATTTGAGATCCTCGTCCGTTCCTCCTGTAGTTGAGACAATGCTCAATGCTAGATAAGTGAATGAATGAAGTAGCCTCTTTCAAATCCCTCCCGTTGATGGTGATTGGCGCTTGATGTTGCTGTTGTTGTTGTTGGTTGGCTATTTTCATAACCTCCGTCTTTTCCATGTTCACATGGAGTCTTGTCTTCGCCGGCTGCTTCTTCGACCAGTTTGTTGGTCGGTATTCGCTTGTAAGTCTTCGATTTTGTCTGACATCAAACATAAATCATCCACACGCAAAATCCAGGTCTTTTCCAACTAATCAAACAAAATTCGTACAAAAATCAATACTTGAAAATCACTAATCCCTTTCAATGGGAGAAATTTGAAGGAAGTCACTTATTTCCCCTTGTCTAGGCAGCATTGTTTCAAATACAGCCGGATGGCACGGATAATGATATCAAAGGGATGCTCGGAAAAGCAAAACAGATATTCATTATCTCGAAACCAGTGTGGAAACTTATTGCACTTAGAATAAGGAACAAGTTTTGAATTTGCAGCACTAACGTCAAGTAATTTCGTTTATATGGATCAAAGACGTTGTGCGCTTGTCACCAAAAGCATTTACAACAGGCTCTTGCTGACTTTCATCAACATTTGCCTTCACTGCCTCCATAGTGAAGATCTGATGGTATACCAGAAAGGATTAGCAACAAGGAATTCTGGAGAGCAAAGAATCAACCAAAGACATCTCAACCAAAAAATATGCAGAAGGAATTAGGGATAGACTGAATAAACGCTGAGGATACCGTTGGGTGACATGCTGGCCAAGTTGTAGACTGGATGGGTCTAACGGTGACATGGGACAGATAGTGTGAAGAAGAGATGAACTTCATGGGTGATTGTGGAGTCAGTTAAAGAGGAGTGTAGCAGTGCGGGTGAAATGAGATGTTTTGTTGAAGCCTTATGTTTCACTGGGAAACTAACGGAATAGTAATGATAATAATAATTAATAGATTTTGATGTAGGAATCAGAAGTTCAGCCAGAATAGCTGACACACTAGTAAAGCTCATTGAATGTAGCTGTAAGATACTCATAACCATCGGAAGACTCATAAGTTTTTTTCCGTCTACTTGAAAGTAGATGACTTTTCTGAAAAAAGGACATGAATTCGCTGTCATTTCCTAAGTCACTTTCAATATTTAAGACTAAAATAAAATATACTTTGGTGCAAAACACTGTTGAGTGAAGTTACAAGTGGTTTATGTCACATATTGATTCGAGCATTGTGGATTAAACTGTTACGAACTGGTCCCAGTTGTAAATCTATCACCTTCACATGTCATGTTCCACTAATTACAAATATTGCAGAGGAAGCCAGCTATTCCTCCGCATTGTAGTCAGTCTTCCAACTCTAATCTGTTTAAATTATGCACTGTGATGCAAATATCTTATTTTATATATCAGTCTATTCTAAAATGTCATCTCATGATACAAGATAATTAAGACTTTTAAATATTTATTTTAACGGAATAACGGAAACGCATTTATACAAATATACACAAAAAAAACACTCGTTTTAATTTATTTCTTGTTCTTATGACACTGTTTCCCCTATTGTATGTGTGTGCATGTTTGCATAAACAGATCAGCATAGCTTGTTACATGATCAATGTAAAAACAGCTCCACTGTTAATTTTGTACTAATCAAATAGTGCGCAATTCAAAATAACAACAACAAAAAACACAAACTATCAGTGCATTTCAAAGTCGGCAGTATCATGAGATTTGTTTCTGACTATACTGTGCACAAAACTTTATTTTGTTGATTTTGTTTGTTCTATTATAATAGAACAAGTTTTTCATTTTGTACAAGAATAGCATATTTAAACGCCTGAGAAAATTCGTTGATCAATGTCCAATGATTATTATGTTGACTCTACACTACAGTGAACTAAACTAACCTATCAGGATATCAATGTAAAGAGTTAGAAGTGATTGTTTAAGCCCATTAGTCCGTTACTCCTACAATTCGTTAACTCTTGCATTGTGCCTATTATTCTCTATTGTTTCTCCTTAGTTTTTCCAGGGTTACTGAAGAAAGGCTATACCTTATTACGCAGGATTTTAAAGGTTATCAGCAGGGTAAGCTGCGTACCACTTAACCAGCTTGTTAGTGTTCTGGTCGACAGGCACTTGGACTCATGTGAAAAATGGGCTAAATCCATTCTATCTAACTCACATCACCCTCTTCATTCACGACTCTCCCCTTGTATCTATCTCATCAGGCACGACCAGAAGCATATACAGAAAACTATATGCTCGCACTAGTAAGTACAAAATCTCAACCATAACGTACTTAGCTCGTTCGTGTTCTGTGCGATAAAGAAAGCATTAGACGTGACACTTATAACTTAATTAATAGTCAGTAGAACAAGTGGATCTTGTCTTTCCAACTTTTTACATCATTTATAGGTACAAGGTTTTCTTTCCTTCTTTTCCTTTTCTCTCTCTCTTTTTCTCTGTTATATGCAGCTTTGTTTCTTTCTTCCTTACTTACTCTAATAAAACATTCTCCTCCATTCTTTTACACTCTGTATATCTCGACCTACTTGTTACCGCTTACGCCAGTGACTACTTTTCTAACGCTTTCGAGCACTCTGTTCACTTTTGGCTTTGCTATTGATATGCTAATATGTTGTCAAACAGTAACTGAGATTACCCTTAATCTATGTAGAATTTTATTTATTGTTAATGTACTGACTGGATGCAATACTGTAGTAAAATTCTGAGAATTCCATTCTGTATCGGAAGTACTGTTTTGGAATAAAGCAAATTTTTATTATTATTAGTGTCTTGGAGTTTGAAATGATTAAAGCTGCATTCGAATCCCAGTAGGAATACCAGAATTATTTATTAAACAGAAAAATTTAGATGATGAGTCCCAAATAGGACGAAATCCAAATCGTGGATTGCATTGTTAGAAATTCTTGCCATACCAGAAGTGAACAGTGTTTCATAACTTTGTGATCATGATGTTCGGATAAGATTTTTGTTGATTAGAATTTCATTCGAGTGAACAGTGTCAGGAAATCTCTAAATAATTTTTGAAAATACCCTCTCGAATATTAGGCAGAAGATAAAACGTTTGGCGGGATTTATTTTATATTTCAGCGATTTGATTATTGGAAGCTGGTTGCTAGGATTTATTTTTGTATATTTTCATTCCTCAAAATGACATAGAGACAAGTCTCATTTAAGTCGATATACTTAAACTTTTCCTTCACGTTCGCAGTGGAACATAGGGCTTCAAGCTAATGGCTTGAAGATTCTGTAGCAGTGTTTATTTTTACAGGATGGATTTTCTAGCCTCATGCCCAACCTTTCGTCTTCACCAGGATTATTTCTGGCTTAGCGAGGTAAAGGAGTGCGTTTGTTGGCAGAGGATCGGACCCCGGACCATGCGCATGGTCGGCGAGTGTCCTAACCGCTGTGCCACCGACGCACAAGTCGATATACTGATAGAAGTGAAATCTAACGAGGATACTATATTTCCTTAAGCCAGGTTAAAATTATAAGAAATTTTAAGTAGTGTTACGTGGAATGTAGAAGTTTACAGTTAGATAGATACCTGTAAGGTAAAGAAGAGCTTTTATCGCTTTCCTTGTTCACCACCACGCTATAAGAAACGTGCCAAAGTGTTTGCTTAGAAGAGTTGCTGCTTCGTAAAATAGGTCCTGAGTCAAAGTGAATATTTAATACTCTTTGTGGAGACAAGAGTAAAACCAAGGTCATGAAGACAATCATACTCTTCAAACCATAAACAGACACTGCATATAAATTTGAACATTAAGAAAGACTTCGGGAAAATGTCTTAAAGATAAGAATCCGTAATTCTCTAAAAATGACTTTCTCTTCAACA